GTCACCACCGAACAATTTTATCATACAGAATCGACTTAACCGAGTTTTATACACTTGAGGTTTATTCTTCGTTTTGACTATATGTCACAGCGGCATGATCTTGGAGGAACTTTAACATAGGATTTCTCATTAGTATCTATTGTTCATTCCTCCAACATGGCCGCAGATTTTTTCATTATTTGAATCTATGGAATGTTTGAAAACGATCAATAGACAGCGCTAGGGTTACTAGTGATACTGTATATAGTGTATATGATATGTTTTTGGTGTACGTACCCATAAAAGAGGTGGGAATGTCAACAAGTCATGATTAAACTCGTCAGTCCATTTAGCTCTAGACATTTGAGACTTCAGAGCAAACAGCTGCAAGAAATAATCAGTCTGGGTTTTTTTCTGTCTGTTTCTCTATCTACCTATATTCCATAACTATTCTTCGTTTTCACCATATGTCACAGCGGCCATTTTGGCATTAGTATCTATTGTTCATTCATCCAGCATCACCGAATCTTTTGAATCTCATGGGAATTATTGAAAACGATGAATTACAAAAACATGGAAAAAATCGCTGCGAAGCCTTTCTTGGTGATTGAGTTGTTACAAGGAGTCTTCAATTTTGAATCTACGATCTATTTCCTATAGACCTTGGACCCTAGAATGCAAGGCGGTCTGCAGTTAGTCACTAAAAGCGCCGGCAACGTTGACTAATTGAACCCTAAAACTATCATTGGTTTACCTGTGTACGCCGTGACAGAAGCTCCAAGTAGTCTATGTCGGCCTGATCGATGATCTATAAGTATAAACAACCTCAAGTTTGATATGCGTTAAGAGTATTCCGATTGGCCAAGTTGGCATGAGCAATATGACGTAATCAAGCTACGTAGCCCGGCCAGACATGCAGATAATTAGGGCGTTGTCGCATGATAATGTTATTAAAGCGTTTCTTTTACGGGTAAAACGTGAAGTAAGGGGAGGGTGAAGATAGAGCAAAACTTTTCACCTGCAATACTACCCTGAATACAGAATTTCTGATATTTTTCCATTCAAAAGAATGGGCGAGGTGCAAATTTACCTTGACTGAGTTGTAAATAAGATACGAGCTGAGAAGAGTTGCAACAGCAAACACTTTGGCATCATAGGTTTCTGATACATTAGTAGCAGCAAAGCCTAAAGCATGCAACAAACAAATGTACTTTCACATAGATTACA